GCTGTCCTTAAAATATAAAAAAGATGAAACTCACAACTCTGCAGCTTCAGGATTATGGAAGGAAAACAGAAAGCCAATGTGTGTGTATGGCTTTTGCTACTCATATGGAAACAAGCAGGTTGCAGGGAGCAGACCAGAGATAGCCAATAGTCCTTCAGATGTTTAACCACAACTCCCACAGCTTGCATGGCCAATAACAGAGGTGTAGCATGGGGGGGGAGGGGCAAGGAGGCCATGGCCCCAGGTGCACATTTTTGAGGCGGCATAATCAGGCACCTCCATGACAGCCATGAACCCCTAGCAGCTGAGGTGTGGCAGCAGGCAGGTTGGTCTAGTGCTCAGGTGAGTGGAGGCAGCAGTAGAGGAGCCTGTTGGGAGGTGGACTCCGTTCACTCTCTCCAGGCACTTCCTCCTGGCGCATGCACCCACCACAGCTGCCCAGTCGAACAGGGGGTGCAACACATCCCCCGCCCTGGGCTCTGGCAACACACACTATGCCACTGGCCAATGGTCAAACATGATGGGAGTTGTAATCCAGAAATCTCTGGAGAACCAAAGCTTATCCATTCTAGAACTAACTGATGTCTCCTTCTCCTCCTCCTTCTCCTCCAAATTTGTAAAACTTTCTTCATCCCAAAACCACATGCCAATTCACAGCATAAAATCATAATTGTTGTAAGGATAAAAAAGAGAGAGGCTCCCACAAGCCAGTCAAGCTACTGGCTACAATCCTGAAATTCTCAAGACACAGTGAACCATCACTGAGATTTGAAATATTTGTGTTCTCACAGTTCCCACCCCTTCCAAAATTCTGCTTAATTGGTTGAGCAGCACAACTGGTTACCAACTAATTTAACATAGCTCACATCCTGCCAGATGTTGTGCCTGCTAGGTGCTTCCCCCATCAGCCAAAACAAAGACCAAGAAGCTGATCCAGTCCCAGAGAAACCATTCATGACTAGTGAGCTGCATTTGCCTTGAATAGTCACCGGCTGCCTGCACCTGCTGGAATGATGGGTTCCTACAAAAGTAGGTTGAAGGTAGGTCCAGTCCACATCACTGTTACTATACAATCTGTTTTATATTGTGAATATTAAACTAAGAAAAGGGCACATGGTTCTCTCCCTCTCCCTCTTTGCACAAAGTTAAGAGTCACATTCATTGCCCTGCCTTTTTGCCACCTACATTTTGCCTCTGACTAATGAGGCACCACATAGTTAAGAGTTGTCTCCATTATAGTTGTGGTGGCAGCTAAAGATGTGGCTTCAAAGGCACTCACCTGGATTGCCTTTTAAATTTGGTGTCAAATGCAAGCCCTGTTGGGATTGGTTCCCCTTGGGTGCCCAAAGTGGAGCTTGCTGTCTTTGTTTGCAGGTGTGGCCTTTTCTGCCTGAGGAGCCCCGCTTCTTCCTTGGGTCACTTGATGGCGTGGAGACCCATCAAGTCAAGCATTGCCCACACTGACTGGCAGGGAACTTCCCCAGCCCTTCTTGGAGATGCCAGGAATTGAGCCTGGGACTTTCTGCATGGAAAGCAGATGCTCCACTCACTGCACTTTCCCAGCCAGAATATAGTTCATGTTCCATGTGTTTTTATGTACTAATACAATATACAATGGGACGTGGGTGGCGCTGTGGGTAAAAGCCTCAGCGCCTAGGGCTTGCCGATCGAAAGGTCGGCGGTTCGAATCCCCGCGGCGGGGTGCGCTCCCGTTGTTCAGTCCCAGCGCCTGCCAACCTAGCAGTTCGAAAGCACTCCTGGGTGCAAGGAGATAAATAGGGAAGGTAAACGGCGTTTCCGTGTGCGGCTCTGGCTCACCAGAGAAGTGATGTCACGCTGGCCACGTGACCCGGAAGTGTCTCCGGACAGTGCTGGCCCCCAGCCTCTTGAGTGAGATGGGCGCACAACCCTAGAGTCTGTCAAGACTGGCCCGTACGGGCAGGGGTACCTTTACCTTACAATATACAATATCATATCGTTTTATCTGTCAAATATGTTCACTGCCTTCTATACCATTTGTGGGTTCTGTTGGCTCCCCCTGGGGCTTTGGTGCTCTTTGGGGGACCACCTACTTTGTGCTTGTACAATACAAAGAGCAACACATGCAGCAATGGCCCTGTGCAGCAATAAAACTGCTAGCCATTTGCAAAGCAAAGCAGGGTCTGGTGACCGGATGCTGAGATTCCTGCATTGCAGGGGTTGGACTAGATGACCCTTGGAGTCCCCTCCAACTCTACAATTATGTGATTCTAAGAAACACACAGGGATAATGGGTGGGTGTGTCAGAGAAAGGTGTGTTCCTTCCCACAGGTGACTATTTGCATATTTGGAGGCCAGTAGGAGTTGGTCTCCATCAAGCCTGGAGAAGTAGCCCCTGTCAGATTTCAGAAAAGGAACAGAGCTAGCAGAGAGAGAGAGAAGCAACAAGCAGGCCAGCAGCAAACATGGTGGAGGCAATACTGAGGTGGAAACCAGCCGGCCCCTCTGCCCCGCTATGAGCAGCCTCTGCAGACCAGCTTTCGATCAACTCTGTATGACCGCATATGCCCATTAGGTGGCAGTATAGAGAATGACAAAGAAGAGGGATGTAAAACACCAAGCGAACAGGGATCGCACTGCTTATTCTGTCGCGATCGTATTCTTCCTAATACGGAAGCAGCTTGCACTTGTTACACTGGGCTGCCCCCCGCTCCGCGCCATGCCATTTTCCTAGGAAGCCTATTGAGGATGCTATGCCGCAAGTGCGCCCCCCCCGCGCCCCGCCAGGATCTCTGAGGCTTAGAAAAGTGCCCAGCAGGAGACACCCATCCATGCGCAAAGAGGCTGTTGTCTCAAGGCTTCAATAAAGACTCCCGCTGAGCAGGTTCTTTGGGGGAGAATCGGGAGCAGCGAGCGAACAGGACCTTCCCCATGACTAGATCGATTCTGCTATACTAACTTGCCCAGGTATCGATGAATTGCATACAGGCTGAAAGATGGAGCATTCAAGTCAGTTTCAGGAGTTAATCTCTGTCCCTAAAACGGACAAGGTGCTAAAGTGTTCTGACTAGCGGGACCATCTCCGCAGAACGTAACCTACTGCAGGCTACATAACTAGATTCCGTTATGTAGATTAGGGCTCGTTTCAAAATTGTAGCATTTTTAAAAAGAAATTAAGGCAGTACTAATCTGAAATTTCTGTGCCAAAAGCAAAATCCAGAACTGTGTGACTGCAAAACCATCTACGAAACTGATGTAACGGAGAATGGGCGGAAAGAGGGAAACGTTGCACTTGTTTGATAGGTTGCCGCAGTAACAGACGAGCTTATGCGTAGATTTCTGGATAAATTTAAGAAGTCATTGCCTTTTATTGCGGGGGGGGGGACGCCAACGTGCCAGGTTTGGAGACAATTGACTCGCTCTCTTCTGAGAAAAGTGGGTGGCTCTTAAAAGAGCCTTTGGGTTCTGGGTGGCCTTTCTCAGCAGCAGAGTCCGCTTACTTGGAGCTGGTGTACTTGGTGACAGCCTTGGTGCCCTCCGAGACGGCGTGCTTGGCCAGCTCCCCCGGCAGCAAGAGGCGCACGGCCGTCTGGATCTCCCGGGAGGTGATGGTGGAGCGCTTGTTGTAATGAGCCAGGCGAGAAGCCTCTCCGGCGATGCGCTCGAAGATGTCGTTCACAAAGGAGTTCATGATGCTCATGGCCTTGGAGGAGATGCCGGTGTCGGGGTGGACCTGCTTCAGCACCTTGTAGACGTAGATGGAGTAGCTCTCCTTGCGGCTCTTGCGGCGCTTCTTGTCGCCCTTCTTCTGCGTCTTGGTCACCGCCTTCTTGGAGCCCTTCTTGGGAGCCGGAGCAGACTTGGCTGGCTCGGGCATTGTGCAGGAAGACCCCCTACTTTCTGTACCAGCAAAAAGAAGAAAAAAGCGAAGTGTGAAGCAGGCTAACTCATCCCAGCCCTGTATTTATAGTCTCCCTATGCAAATGAAGGGTTCCAATGCCGAACCTTTCCATTGGCTGAGGGCAGCATTTTGTAGCGCCGCCACTGCGCACGCACATGCAAATTAGAGCGCTGCAAGCGCCGGCTTTTCATTGGGCGGCAGCTGCCTCTCCGCTCCCGATTGGCCGCCTTTAGAAATTGTCTTCTTATTGGCTCTGCTGTGCTGGTGACAGATCTGGCCAATCCGTAATTGCGCGTCCCTCGGCGAGGAGGGCATAAAAGGCGCCGGGGGTTCTTTTCTTCTTAATTGCAGTTTTATTTTTTGTTGCGCCTCTGAGCGGAGCTGAGTCAGTGTCGCCATGTCTGGCCGCGGCAAGCAAGGGGGGAAGGCGAGGGCCAAGGCGAAGTCGCGATCCTCGCGCGCCGGCCTCCAGTTCCCCGTGGGCCGCGTGCACCGCCTGCTCCGCAAAGGGAACTACGCCGAGCGGGTGGGCGCGGGAGCCCCGGTATACCTGGCCGCGGTGCTGGAGTATCTCACGGCTGAAATACTGGAGCTGGCGGGCAACGCTGCCCGGGACAACAAGAAAACGAGGATCATTCCCCGTCACCTCCAGCTGGCGGTTCGCAACGATGAAGAATTGAACAAGCTGCTGGGAGGAGTCACTATTGCCCAGGGGGGAGTCTTGCCCAATATCCAGGCTGTTCTTCTCCCCAAGAAGACGGAGAGCCACAAGCCCAAAGGCAAATAAGGAAGATGCTGGCTTTTTCACCTAACAAAACCTAAAACATCTGTGCATCACAAAAAGGCTCTTTTAAGAGCCACCCACAAATATCAAAAAAGGCTGAAAGAAATCACTACTAGTGAAAATGCGTTCGTAATGAAGTACTTTTCCCCCCCTCCCCCCGCAAAAAAGGGAAAGTAGCTTTTGAATTTTGGGGGGATGCACATAACGCGTGTTTCAACGGAAGGGGAGTCAGTAACTTTGCTTCGCTGCACATGATCTGCAGTGTGATTTGGAAACGGGAGGTAAAAGAGCACCCTGACGTCTGGCAGCTACAACAAAGTATAAACCTAAGTGGCAGAAAGTTTGGTACATAAGGCTACTTTGTAACAGCAACACAACTCTTTGTTGAAAACGTGGATGGCCCTTAAAAGGGCCTTTGGATATTTTGTTGTTCGCTGCAGGAATATTTAGCCGCCGAATCCGTACAGAGTGCGGCCCTGGCGCTTCAAGGCATAGACCACATCCATGGCAGTCACGGTCTTCCTCTTGGCGTGCTCCGTGTAAGTCACGGCATCGCGGATGACATTCTCCAGGAAAACCTTCAGCACGCCCCGGGTCTCCTCGTAGATCAGCCCAGAGATGCGCTTGACTCCTCCACGGCGAGCCAAGCGGCGAATCGCAGGCTTCGTGATGCCCTGGATGTTATCGCGCAGCACCTTGCGGTGGCGCTTGGCGCCCCCTTTCCCGAGCCCCTTCCCGCCTTTGCCGCGACCCGACATCCTTGAGCTTCAAAGACCTTGCGAATGAGAGCGACAGGCAGCAGTTTCACTTTATATAGTCTGAAAGCCGACCTGAAGGAAAACTTTGAGCGGGGGGGGGGAGTGAACGCAGGAGCGTATACTGTTACAACAACGCTATAGGGCAATGCTAAGTCAGCTTCTCCAATAAAACGCAGCAGTATTTCAAATCAGCCAGTAATAAATTAGCTGCAACAATTTAACTGAGAGAGCGCGCTGGCGCCTTCCCTGCTTTTGAGCAGGCGTAGAAAGGTATTCTTATGACGTGCAATTCACTCGCTTCCCCTTCATTTCTGTGTAGGGTCCCTGAAAACTCTGGCCACTACCTGGACAATGGTACAATATGAGCATATAAAAGCTGTTTTGTAATGTCATCCTATTGGACCATCAAGTGTTGGAATACAACTCAGCTTGCGCTTGAGGTTGATGTACTGTACCTACATGAGAGGGCATGGGCAACTCTAGTCTAGTCTGCCCTTTAACCCATGATGACCTTTCTTCAGGCTTGAGGGATACTCTTAAGGTTGCTTCCTTCATTACCTAATTCCTTTCTTCTTCATCCTCACGTCAGTAGGAGGAGGAAATTTTTGTGTTTTTCCTGCAGAGATGTGACAAGCATGGCTTGCTGCATTCCCAAACTGAGGTAGTTAGAACTAGGACATTTCCTGTAAAAAATGTATTTCCTGCACTAAACATAGCCCTGCCCCCAACGCCAAGGTAAAGCGGGCTCTTCCACCCAAGTTCTAGTGTAAAGTTCAACTTCTGCTGATGGAACTTAATCGTCGACATGGACGGAGTTCCGCCTCCTCGTTCAGAGTAATGTTGGCGATCTAAATAAATAATTAAAAAATTGTCCAGTAGCACCTATTTTATTTATTTCGACTGCGTCAGACCAACACGGCTACCTACCTGAATCTAGAATCATGGCTGGCGATCTTGTTTGAATGTGACCCCCTATTTCCCAGGACCCATACACTCTCAATCAGGTTCTACATGCTGGATCTGCTTGGACACACTGCAGACCTTTGCCCCCCAAGCTAAGCTCCAGCAGCGTGGAGCGGAGCTTCATCAGGCACGTCTATTCTGCATATCTCTGGGACCTGCGTGTTAAGGGCGAGAAATAAAATAAACAATGATTATGATAATAATTCAAAGGATACATCTATAATTGACCAGCTGTCCACGAGACCAAAGCTGACACATTAACTCTCGGGCGAAATTTAGCGCGCGCACGACAGAAACAAGCTCTTCCTTATGGCACAATTTAAATTATTTCATTCATCAAAGCACACCTCACGCATTAGAAACACTCCCACCCCTTCTGTCAGACGACTGTAAGAAGAAGCCGCGGAAGCTCGGAGTGGGGAGCTGTTATGCCCCAACTTTTCGATTGGCTGAGAGGGCTCTTAAGCTCATCCCCATTTGGGCGCGCACATGCAAATGATGAGCCTGTGATTCCCCACTTCCAATTGGATGAACGCGTCGTCTCCCCCTCAGGTTGGCGCAGACTTAGAAATCTTTTTCCCAATTGGTTTATTTTTTTTTAACTCCATCTCCAGCCAATCAGAAGCGTCATTTTCGAGCCTCTCGGAAGGTATAAAAGCCCCTCGCCGGCTTTGCCTCCCGTAGTTGGCTCGCTTTCTTGGGAGAGGAAGTTGTGTGGATTCAGCGACGACAGCATGTCTGGCCGCGGCAAGCAGGGAGGCAAGGCGAGGGCCAAGGCCAAGTCGCGCTCTTCGCGGGCCGGCCTGCAGTTCCCCGTGGGCCGCGTGCACCGCCTGCTGCGCAAGGGCAACTACGCCGAGCGGGTGGGCGCCGGCGCGCCCGTCTACTTGGCGGCCGTGCTCGAGTACCTGACGGCCGAGATCCTCGAGCTGGCCGGTAACGCCGCTCGCGACAACAAGAAGACCCGCATCATCCCCCGCCACCTGCAGCTGGCCATCCGCAACGACGAGGAGCTCAACAAGCTGCTCGGCAAAGTCACCATCGCCCAGGGCGGCGTCCTGCCCAACATCCAAGCCGTCCTCTTGCCCAAGAAGACCGAGAGCCACAAGGCCAAAGGGAAGTGAAGCTGCTCTTCTGGGCCTCGCAGTTCTCCTTGAAACTGAACCAAAGGCTCTTTTCAGAGCCACCCACACCTTCCAGAAAAGAGCTGGCAGTCGCCTGATTGCTGTTGCCTCAATCCTTTCTTGCTTTCCCCTTTGCTACAGTTTGTAGAAATGGAGGCCATATGACATGTCACACATTGCTTTCAAATCATTTATCATTAGTTTTATTTGTTGGTGATATTCATGGTTATCAAAGTTGGCAATTATGTCTTTGATCTACTGCACTTAGTTTAAATTACAGCTGTATTGTCATGGTTCCTATTTGGATAAGCTCCTGAGCCTGACAAACTAAACCAAAACATAATGTGTGGTGCTGGGAATGTGATAGCTTGTCAGTTTGGACATGTTGCAGTCAACTTCAGCACGTGAAGCACCCAAACACTTGGCTGCCAAACTGTCTCAAAGTGTAAAAACAGAAGAATAATAAGCACTATAAATCTTGATTAAGGTAGGTAGCCGTGATGGTCTGATGCAGCCAAAATAAATAAATAAAAATTGTCCAGTAGCAACTTAGAGACCAACTTAAGTTTGTTCCAGGTATAAGTTTATGTGTGTGTGCATTTCAGGTATCTGAAGAAGTGTGCATGCACACGAAAGCTTATACCCAGAACAAACTTACTGTAGTTGGTCTCTAAAGCACAATAAAGATTTTCTAAAAGTTGCTTGTCCTTAAAAACTAGGTATGGAGTTTGCTGTTGGTGAGCAATTCTTCCCCTAGCTCAGGTGTTACTTTCCTGCCATTGGGGGAGCTTTTGCCAATTTTCTAGCTGGAGAATAACTTGGGGATAGTGAAATGGAAGATGAAAAAACATGCTTGGGCTGCAGCCACCTCTGTGTTGGCAGGGATCCTGTGTATGTGTCTCCCCCCCCCCCCGCCCATGTCCTGGAGCATGGTCTGATTCCTGCCTCCATATAATGTTTTCAACTAGCTGTTGAACCACTTTGTTGAATATATGCATATTTTGGCAGATCCCCCTTCCTTTGGAGGATCTAGTCTGACAGCACCCTTCTGAGTGCTCTTGTCTTAACATACAAATTATACTGCTGCAAGATCATCACATGGATGATGTATTTACAACAATTATATCCTATGCTTAGGCTTTGAGTCATAAATTTTAATAAGCTGGAAAGGCAAAGAACTTAGAGGTGCACCCCACCCCACCCCACCCCGTAACCAAATATATGGCAGAGGGCCTTGGGGAAATGAGTATAGCATGAAAGAGCAGAATACTACCGTATTTTACCTTATGTCAGGGAAGGTGCTGTTTATGGTGTAGCCTAGAGAGGCCTTTTGAATTAATGTGACGTGATGCACATATCTAAGTTGAGTCCAAAATTCAGCTGTGGATATGGGCAGTAGATTTGGGAAGAAGTGCAGTAACGGTATTCTACCAGGTGACCTGTTGGAGCCTTTAGGACATATCAAACTTATTTTACTGCTTTGTTGTGGGGACTGGCCAGATGGGAATTGGGGAAGAAGAAGCAACAATAATTTATTTATAAACAATAATTTATCAAGCAAAAGAATCCATTTTAAAAATCAGAGCTGCTCTTCAAAACACAGGAAGGAAAATTGAGAAAAAACACACATCATAAAGTCAGCAATTGTGCAAATAATACTTGTTGTTTTACATTTAGTGGTATGGGTAGCAGATGCAAGAGGAAGCCAAAGGCTCTTGCCCTGTCCAAATGGGTGTGGCAGGAGAGGTGCAGGGATGGAAGAAGCTCCACTATCAGAAAACTGCCCCTCTCCTTGACAACTCTTTTGTCCATCAACTTTGGTCACCATACTCTGCTGCCATGGATGCCTTTAAGCCCTCACACTGGACCTCAGATATACAGTGGTACCTCAGGTTAAGTACCGGTACTTAATTTGTTCCAGAGGTCCGTTCTTAACCTGAGGTACCACTTTAGCCAATGGGGCCTCCCACTGCCGCCGCGCCACCGGAGCATGATTTCTGTTCTCATCCTGAAGCAAAGTTCTTAACCCGAGGTACTATTTCTGGGTTAGCGGAGTCTGTAACCTGAAGCGTATGTAACCCAAGGTATCACTGTATAGCATCTGCAGATGAACAGAGGCAGAGGCACTAAAGGAAAGTGAATGAATGGAGAATCCCCATCTCCCATGTATCTGTGGAGTTTTACACACATTCAAAAGTTGCCAATTCAGCCAAAGTACTCCCTGCCATCAGTAGAGAATAAACACCATTTAGATTTGCAGAACTGGCACTTGCAAAGTGTTTCCTCTCCACTTGCAGGAAACCAGTTACTTAGTGTGGCAGCTCCTACACTCTGGAACTGACTGCCCATTGACATTAGGCAGATGCTGTCTTTGTATTGTTTTCAGTGCCTGCTAAGAACCTTTCAGTTTCAGCAAGACTATCTAGCCATGTGATTTTAGCATGTGATTTTTAAAGTATAACAGCTGTGCAGTTACTGGTTTTAATTTTTAGTGTAACTTGTTTCTAATGATTTTAACAATATTTTAATGAAGAATTTCAATTGTCTTTTGTTCAATCTAATCTAGCTTTCCCGAACCTCGTGCCCTCTGGACATTCTGGATGGCAGCTCCTGTTATCTGCAGCTGTCTGCTCTGCACATAAGGTGGATTCAAGCACTGACAAAACCATTGTACTGACATGGGAAAACTAACTTTTGTAAATTGAACTAAACAATTTGTTTTCTAAAAATGATGTTTTAAAACTTGTCTCATCACGTATTTGAATATGATCTACTGCACCCTCTGGAGAGTTTATTTCAGGTGTGCGTCAGAAGGTAGAGGCCCAGTTAACAATGCAAGATCAGTCTTAAAGTGAGCTCCTAGTTGTGTACTAGTGGCCTAAGAATCCAAAGAGACCTGGAATAGGAGGCTGAAACATAAAGCTCTGTACTGCATGTGCACACACATTAACAGCAAAAGCAATCTCTCTAAGGTGCTACTGGACAATTTTTTAATTTATCCAGATAGAGAGTGAGATAGTAATTTTCTACCCACAAATCTCAGCAAATGAGAGTAGTTAGGAAAGTACTGAATTGATATCTTAGGGTGTTTATGCAATGGCATGTATTCAGTTGAAGAGTAGCAGAAAAGGGTTCCAAATGTACTCAAGCAGCCAGTATCTGCCAGCTTCCACCATCTTATTTGGTTTCAAAACAGTAATTATATCCTAGCCAACAATTATGCAGTCCCATGTGCTTCTCCGTTTAACACAGGATGTCTCTAATGGGATGTTTTTGATCTTGATTTCTGGTTCTTCAAACACAAGAGATGCAAAGAGCAAGGAAAGAGGCTGTTGCAAATTCTCTGGATTAAAGAGCAGTTCCTTTCTCAAGCTACCAAGCAAGGCTTGGCCTAAGTGGAAATTTAGTGACCAAAAATGGTAGACTGAAGTGGCCCTCTGGGTCTTCTAGTTGCCAGAGCAGTCTCCAGATTTCCAAGGCCTTGGGTGCCCGCATCACAGACTGAAGCAGTGGTTTGTCTTTGAAATAAATAATTCCTTCCCCAAGGGAGTCCCTGCCTCATAAGGAGGACTGGGACCTTGGAAGGAGCGCGGTTGTGGAGGCTCCTTACCGGTCGGGAAATGTCAGAGACCACACCAGGATTTGTGAAAAAACAAAGTCTGATCTTTATTGAAAGAACAGGAAAAAACAAAACTGTTGAAACAGGGTCCCCCCTCACGCCATAAAAACGGAGTGAGAACCTCGAACAAAGGGCTGCTTTGACTCTTATACCTTTTGGTTTCCATACAGATCAATAACAGCAGAGGTGGTGGGAAGAGACCTGAATGGGGAGAAGAGGGGGTTCACATAAGGTAAGTAGGATGTTGTAAGATCTTGGGAGGTGTCAATTTTGCTGGAGGGCTGGAATAACATGTGTTGAGCTTCTTCTGGATCTGGTTAATGGCTGTTCCTTTATCTACAGGAAAGCTTTCCGTAGCTGCTAATAATCAGTATGCAGATCGTGAGGCTGGATGTTCGGGAAATGGCTTCAATGTTAATGTGAGATCCTGCTCTGCATTGCTATCAATTCGAGTGTGATAGTCTCTGTGATAGTCTCATGTTTGCATACTTATTGGAAAATATAACTACCGTATTTTGGGTTGGACTCAGTAGATGGCAGTGTGGTGGAGAGTGTTTTGGCAGCTAGGATTGGATACATGCAGAAAATACAGCATAGTACAGCGTTTTGAGAAAAATACATTTCAGTAAAGATACATTCAAGGAAAAGATATACATTTCAGTAAGGATGCATGCAGTACTTTCAGATACATTCCTATACATTTCCATAAGGATACATTTAGATACATTCTTAAGTCAATGAGAAAACACAGCAAAATGATACATTCTCAAACAATGCATTCTCCAAGGCAGTTTATTTTTCTTGTGGGGTTTTAAGGCATAATACTATAACTTTGATATTGGTAGGGTCATTTTTCCTTTATTCCCCTCTCTGACCATGACTCTCTTACGACATCTTCAAGAAGCAAAAGGGCTTGCTATTCTATTCTCAAGGCAGCACCAGCAGCTGAAAGTTACTAAATATGTAGAATAGAACAGCACTGACCAAGAAGTGGATGAGCCACCTCTTAGTATATAGACCAACATCACTAGACCCTTGGGCTATTTTAATAGGGCAGACAAAGTATTGTTTAAGACAGGCATAGGTAACCTCGGCCCGCCAGATGTTTTGGGACTCAATTCCCAACATCCCTGACCACTAGTCCTGTTAGCTAGGGATCATGGGAGTTGGTAATCCCAAAACATCTGGCAGGCCAAGGTTGCCTATGCCTGATCTAAGAGCTTTCTTATCCTTCTTTCTTTTAAAGATTTGTCTTCCACTACCTTTTAGCACTGACGTATTGTTCTGCCACAATCTCTTCCCCCGTTTCACAAGTTTTCTTCACTTGCCAAAGAGGCTTCCATTTTCCTGCCTCTGTCAAGGGTGGTGCCTGTGCTTTTGTTTCCAGCAAACATTGCTGCAAGCTCCAGATCTGGAAAAAATCCCTATCAGAGGAGTTGCCTGATGCTGCCTCCCCTGAGTTTTAATGGCCATGTGGGCATTGGGAATGCTGCAAAGGGCAGACTGCTGATGAGCTGGCTGGCTCATCAAGACACCCAAAGCACTCCTTGGTCATTTCAGAAGTAACAAGGTAGGCATGTAGCAAGCTCTGCACCCCACCCTTTAAAATTTCATCCATTTTTTTTTATTTCCCCCTGTAATCTTCAATGGAATTTAATTTCTTTTCTCATCTATTTATAAGAATATTTCTAGACTGCCAGCTCATAAAAAATGTGACGGTGGGGTACAATGAAGGCATTGAGGGATCATAAAACTATAAAATATAGGGGGAAAATGATTACCACAGAATCATAGAATTGTAGACTTGGGACCACAAGGGTCATCTAGTCCAACCACTGCAATGCTGAACACTTTTGCTCAATGTGGGGCTCAAACCCCTCGGGCGTGTGTGTTGAGATTCCTGCATTGCAGGGGGTTGGACTAGATGACCCTCAGGGTTCCTTCCAACTCTACAATTCCATGTTCTGCAAACACAAATGTGTTTTCTGAAAACCCTTGGTGAAATGAACATTTTCAGCAGGTAATGAAATACAGTATAGTATCAAAATTGCAGGTACATGTCTCCCTCAGCCTACTCATAGTTATAAGGAAACAGTAAGAAAGAAGCACTACATTTAGGAGAGTGTACACATGGACCATACCAGGTCACATCTCAACGAGGCATTGCTCCTGAGGAAGTGAGTGTGCTTGCCATCTACAATTTTTATAAACCAACATGTTCTTTGTAAAAAATGGAGTATTTATTCCCCTAACTGAAGCATTTGAGGCATGTAAAATATTTTTTTTTAAAAAAAGACAATGGTGCCGATGTTCCTAGAGTGGAGCAAAGGTGTTATATAAATTTCCCTCTCCCTCCTTGAAGTGTGCAGCAAGTGCCAATCGGCACCTGGATTACCTGACCTGACCTGGAATGGATCAGGCTGATCCAAAAATGAAGCCCATTGAAGTCAATGAATGCATGGCGCTGGGCCCAAACAGTGCAAAAGAGACCTAGCTGAATCAAACCACAGAGCAGACGAAAAGATTCCTCTTTGCTTGGCTTTGAAATGCCAGCTTCTGGGTGCTTTTAACTGTTAGAAAATACGTTGCTGAATTAAATCAGGATCTTAAAATAAAGTCAATCCATTTCATTTCTCTAGAAATCCTGACCGGTTGCAACCAATGTACACCCATTCCTATTTAAAGCAGGGGATTTCCAGCTCAAAATTTCCACTAAGGCTGAAAGCCTACAGCCACTTACCCAGAAGTCTCAGCAGGACTTCCAAGTGAACATGCACGTGATCATACTGAACGTCAGGAAGGAGAACATCAATGGCCGGTGCCCAAACGCTTGCCGACCCGCACCCGGATTGTGCAGTGCAAATATACTGGGTAGGAAGTAACGACAGCTCCTTTTTTTGTTATGTGGGTGGCCCTTAAAAGAGCCTTTGGGTTATTTCCAGCTGTGCTGTAGCGACTGGGAAGCAGCTCAAGCCCTCTCCCCACGGATACGACGTGCCAGCTGAATGTCTTTCGGCATAATGGTGACCCTTTTGGCGTGGATGGCACACAGGTTGGTATCTTCGAAGAGACCCACCAGGTAAGCCTCGCTAGCCTCCTGCAAGGCCATGACGGCAGAGCTCTGGAAGCGCAGGTCCGTCTTGAAGTCCTGGGCGATTTCTCTTACCAGGCGCTGGAAAGGCAGTTTGCGGATCAGGAGCTCTGTCGATTTCTGATAGCGGCGGATCTCCCGCAGGGCTACGGTGCCCGGCCGATAGCGATGGGGTTTCTTCACCCCACCCGTGGCCGGGGCGCTTTTCCGGGCAGCCTTGGTGGCCAGCTGCTTGCGAGGGGCTTTTCCTCCGGTGGACTTGCGGGCAGTCTGCTTGGTCCGCGCCATGGCTCTTCCTCAAGCAGCGAGACAGCAGCTCGCTCCTGCAGGACGGATGCAAAGCGGGGGAGAGGACCTGGGAGCAGAGAATTTATAGGGAAATCCTCCTTCCCCTGATTGGCCGAGAGCGCGAGCGTAGCGGCTCAGGGGTTTGAATTTCCCGGGCTTGGAAGGGATTGGAGGCCACCTCTGAGCTCTCGGTCCCCTCCCAGACCTTCTGCCTGAAAGGTGCTCCAGTTATATCGTGGATCCTAAGCACACGACCTATAAAATTACCATTTGGTCGGGGCGTGCGCGAATCCCGGCCTATCCTACTTCACAGTGTTGTTGTGAAAGTAAAGAACAACACATATCATGCGTGTGGAGTGAAACAGTGTTTAGCGGTAATCCCAGCTCCAATAGCGTGTATCTTAAAGTTGCTGCCGTGCCAGATTTGCGACCACAGGGCACCCCAACCCCCACCTAGTGTGACAACCGTTTTTGGATCAAAGAGAATTAAATTAGCAGCAGCTTTTGAGATGAGGAGCTGAATAGGCTTCTTTGAACTTAACAGGCAGAGGCAGTTATAGGGCTAAAAAACCCCGCGCTACGCAATGATTGGTTCAGAATCGTACCCCCTACCAACGAATCCTTTGATTTTACGGGGCGTCAGTAAAAATACCAGGGTTAAAGAGTAGTTTTTAATACTATGTGTCAGCTCCCGCGTTACACATACGTAATTCTTTCTCAGGCTGCATCAGAGCCAGATGCCTCGGAGCGAGGATTGCCTTGGCATGCCAATTCGTTTTCTAATATTTATATGTTCGAGTACCACAAGGTGTATTTTAGATATAAAATGGGGGCGGGTAACGACTGCGTGAACCAAGAGCTGTTCATCAACGGGCATTATTGATATCCCGAACAGCCAATACTTCTCAACCACGGAAAGTACAACTAAAACAAGGCTCAGCTTCACCTAACTTGGTGGAATGGCAATTGTTCCTCGCGGATTTATGCGATTTAACCTTAAGAGGTAGGAATATTTTGAATCCCGTTCTAAGCACAAGACAACTTGCTTTCCAAAGTCACCAACTGCCTGGACTCAGCTCTTTTCTGGAAAACGTGGGTGGCTCTGAAAAGAGCCTTTGGGTTCAGCGTTCAGCGAGGGGTTTTTTTCCTTTGGGGGGCAGCCAAGGTTTACTTCCCTTTGGCCTTGTGGCTCTCGGTCTTCTTGGGCAAGAGGACGGCTTGGATGTTGGGCAGGACGCCGCCCTGGGCGATGGTGACTTTGCCGAGCAGCTTGTTGAGCTCCTCGTCGTTGCGGATGGCCAGCTGCAGGTGGCGGGGGATGATGCGGGTCTTCTTGTTGTCGCGAGCGGCGTTGCCGGCCAGCTCGAGGATCTCGGCCGTCAGGTACTCGAGCACGGCCGCCAAGTAGACGGGCGCGCCGGCGCCCACCCGCTCGGCGTAGTTGCCCTTGCGCAGCAGGCGGTGCACGCGGCCCACGGGGAACTGCAGGCCGGCCCGCGAAGAGCGCGACTTGGCCTTGGCCCTCGCCTTGCCTCCCTGCTTGCCGCGGCCAGACATGCTGTCGTCTCCGGCTCTCACGCACCGCACACAGCGCGCACAATGGAAAAGCAGCACTGACGGGCGAGGGCCGAGGCGGGGGCCTTTTATGCCTTCCTGGAGCCTGCAAGTACCACTTCTTATTGGCTCATCAGGCGTCCTGCAGCCACAAGCCAATGAGAAAGCATATTTCTCGACCTGACCAATCACAGAAGTGGAAACGGCACTCTTCCAATAGGAACGGGAATATCACACTCCTATGATTTGCATGTGCGTGCGCAGCGGAGATGATATCAGGAGGCGCGGCAGCCAATAGGAACATGTCAGCCCAGCAACCTTCATTTGCATAAAGGGCCTTTAAATAGAGGAAGGGCTGAGCCTGGCAGCGCCGCATTCCTCTTTGCAGTCCGCCGTGACCAGAGAAAGGTGGTTTCCGAGGGCTTCTTATTTCCTCCAGAGCGAAGACTTTATTTTTGCCAGAATGCCCGAGCCAGCCAAGTCTGCTCCGGCTCCCAAGAAGGGCTCCAAGAAGGCGGTGACCAAGACGCAGAAGAAGGGCGACAAGAAGCGCCGTAAGAGCCGCAAGGAGAGCTACTCCATCTACGTCTACAAGGTGCTGAAGCAGGTCCACCCCGACACCGGCATCTCCTCCAAGGCGATGGGCATCATGAACTCCTTTGTGAACGACATCTTCGAGCGCATCGCCGGAGAGGCTTCTCGCCTGGCTCATTACAACAAGCGCTCCACCATCACCTCCCGGGAGATCCAGACGGCCGTGCGCCTCTTGCTGCCGGGGGAGCTGGCCAAGCACGCGGTCTCGGAGGGCACCAAGGCTGTCACCAAGTACACCAGCTCCAAGTAAGCAGATCGTGCTGCTTAGCAAAGAACTCAATAACCCAAAGGCTCTTTTAAGAGCCACCCACTTTCTCACAAAAGAGCTTGAGTCATTTTTCATCCTGAGTTCCCATAAATGCTGACATTGCACACCAATTTTTATTAACTATTAAAACATACGTGGTGGTGCTCTAAAGACACTCTTTCCCCATCTAAAGTATTATGTCATACAGTATTTTGTGTTCTGTGATTCTTTCCCATATTGCATGAAACCAAGTTAGGTAGGGCAGCTTATGGGGGAAAAAACTACTTGCAGGTTAGAGTGGTGGCATAGCTCAATACACCTTGAGCAGGTGTGCTTCACAAGGCTATGCATAGTATTTTCAAAAACTTACAGAAGCTTTATACAGTAAACTTGAGTTTGTGGTGAATCAAGAATATGCTAAGAATGTGCTTTGGATGATGGGAGCATAAACTTTGCTACAGAATAACTAGGCCTGGCGTTTACAATAGAGACTCCTAATTTCTGGACAAGCTTCTCTACAACTAATTTTTATGAGTAGCTAAAAGTGACATGTTTTAATTTAATGTATCACAGCCCCACATCCTTCAAGATACATAGAATTATATAGTGGGACTGGTTGTTGAGGGTCATCTAGTCCAACCCTCTGCGATGCAAGAATAAACTAGATCATACATGAAGTGCAATCCTAAATTGGGAGGCAAATAAAGGTATATCTGACATTTGTTTTACAACCTATGACAGGCATTCTTCCTCTCTAGTCTAGGGTCACAATGAGGAGCTACTGAAGGAGTTGATATTAAATTAGGAATAAGGTTTGCAAGTTTTAAATTAAAGGGTATTTATTCTAGAAGCCCTGATTTGGATGTAGCCTGTGGGTTTTGCTAATGATATGTGTATTAAAAATGAGGATGCAGCAGAACTTTCATGTTCTGGAATTGAAACTTCCAAATTAAGTTAATCTTCATTGTTCCTATACGTCACCCCTAGTGATGGCATGTAAGGGGGGGACGGACACTTTTATTGGCATTTACCACAACTTAATCCTGAGATTTATAACAGCCCAATAAGGTAGATTTGGTTTAGGTGGTAAACTACTACTGAAAAGAAAATCTTGCCAAGGTAGTCCAGGGAGTTTCAAGTTTGATCAGGGATCTGAATAGGCAACTCCTGGTACCATAACTCATATTTTATTACACTACACTTCGCTCTCCAAAGTCCATCATATATTTGTTTGTGTGTTTGTGTGTGTGTGTAGAGAGAGAGAGAGAAGAAATCAAATACTTAAGCACACCAAGTAGGAATCGGGACCAGATTTTTTTTATTTTTTAATATTGAGCTTCTCCCCTCCATCCATGTTCCAAAACACGTTTGGATTTAATCTCATTGCAATCAAAGCAGAGACAGTTTTCAACAGAAATCGCATATGCACCAGTTTCCACTGAAAACATGGTCTTCTCCACAGGACTCCTGCAAGAAAACACACTTTTATTCCTCAGTAGGTGACAGCACGGCTTACATTAAGGCGTCTTTGGCGTCTCCGTAGTTTATTAATTGTATGCAGGTGTCAAAATAATTTATCACAAATGCACATGGGCGCAGGCTGCTCTCATTCCTAAACTTCATTTACAGCGTCAAAGAAAGAGGACCGACGTTTTCAGCGAAGGTATTATCAGTCGTTTTTATCTTGCAACAGTTTCACAATTTGCCCTCTGCTAACAAAGTAGCGCAAATAAGAAGGGGAGGGACGAACGAGTTCCGTTGGGCAGCTTTGTATCCATTGTTTGCTTGTTTGTCTGCTCTCTCTTCCCTCCTCTGGGCGACCTGAGAGCGTTCTCTTCTACGCAGACTCAAGAGCAAACGAACGGCGCCAAATTATTCAGCTTGAAGCGGCGATTTGCGATTGGGCATTTTGAAAATCTCCCGCTGCTCATTTGAGGAGCAGCGCCCTATAGCGAGAGAGGCGGAGTTAGGTAGCACCGCCCTCCCTGGAGCTGCCAGTTTTCATTCTGGTCCGCATACAGAGTATATAATTCAGCCGAGTTCTTTTCGCTCCTGCATAAACCGGTTCTCTCTTTGTTTGTGCGTCTGCTGGGAAGATGTCGGGTCGCGGCAAAGGCGGGAAGGGGCTCGGGAAAGGGGGCGCCAAGCGCCACCGCAAGGTGCTGCGCGATAACATCCAGGGCATCACGAAGCCTGCGATTCGCCGCTTGGCTCGCCGTGGAGGAGTCAAGCGCATCTCTGGGCTGATCTACGAGGAGACCCGGGGCGTGCTGAAGGTTTTCCTGGAGAATGTCATCCGCGATGCCGTGACTTACACGGAGCACGCCAAGAGGAAGACCGTGACTGCCATGGATGTGGTCTATGCCTTGAAGCGCCAGGGCCGCACTCTGTACGGATTCGGCGGCTAAATATTCCTGCAGCGAACAACAAAATATCCAAAGGCCCTTTTAAGGGCCACCTACTCATTCATAAAAAGCTGGAATTTTCCTCATAGAGTAACGTTAACAAGGTAGGGATGGGAGCTTGTGAAAAGGCGGTAGTTGCTTGATCTGCAACTGGTCCGACGTGTATGTACGTAAATCAAGAAAGTCGAGATGTGCGGTGGCCTTTTACGGTTCCGTTAATTTTTTTAAAATGCTCCGATGCAACGCCGTGAATCGTTTTTTTGTCTCCCGCTTCTGACCGTTTTTTGGGTTAAAAAAGCCCCCTATTGGTTCTTCAGTGAAATTTCTAGGGGAGGCAGCCTTGGATCACGGCCCTAGGTTAACCTCGAAGGGGCTTTTTGCGCAGAACTCCGCTCCTCCCCTCGCTGTCCCCCGCTAGACACTAGTGACTAGAGAGTAAGGCTCCAAACTGGCTTAGCAGCCGCAGGAGGATTCCGGACGCGGGGGGGGGGGGGAGGGACGGGCAGGCAGACAAAAGCCAGCGAACAAAAGCCTGGTCTCCGGGCAGGAAACCGCGACGCCTCATTTCCCAGCAGCCTTTGTGCCCATTGGCTTTGTTCGCCTCCTTGTGACCTTGTGCTGTCTGTGGCCAATGAGAACCTGTAGCGTCATGCCGTCGCTTAGAGACGCAAAGCACTCTGGGATAAGTAGTTCCCAGGCGGTCCGCGGGATTCGGATCCGGGCTGCGCCTTCTCCCTCGCTGTGGGAAAAGGGACGATGACAGCAGCTGGAGTCCCTTCTCTCAGGCATCCGATTTTTCTGCCCGCGTTTCTTCTTTCGGATTTCCCCCACCGGCTGGTCCAAAGCCAAGGGGGGCACTTGCCCCTCACCCTGAGGTCCTGCGCTCTTGTCGGGCTCTTGGGCACGAAGCCAGCTCCGGCATGTGCTGTCCTGGTTGCCTGCCTTCCTTCTCGATTTGCCTCCTCCAGCTCTGGTCGTTGGCCAGGAGGATAACATTCTGGCTTTGCGGCAGCCCTCGCCACGCCTCTCTCTGTGCTTTCGCTGCGGAGCCTTCTCGGCAGGAGGTGCTCGCTGAGATGAATTATCTCGAGATGTGTCAGTTGAAATGCCTCCCTTCTAAGGGTGGTGCCGGTGAGTGCAATCAGGATCGCAGCCAAGGCAGGGAAAAGGAGAAACAAGAGGGGAAGGGAGCTTGAAGAAGTAAATCTCTCTCCCTGCTTCCTCCCCCATAACCAGCAGTATCTTAGCAGTAATTAAATAATGGGTTGTATTCAACTAACTTTTATTTCCAGTACTCCCGCTTAGGTTCATTAATTCTAATGGCTGTAAAGGTAAAGGGACCCTGGTTTCCCCAGCCGCTCTGGTAGCTTAAAGCATATCTAAAAAGAAAATAAAACCCCAAGCACTAAAAACTTCCCTAAAAAAGCCTGCCTTCAGATGTCTTCTAAAAGTCAGATAGTTGTTTATTGCCTTGACATCTGCTGGGAGGGTGTTCCACAGGGCAGGTGCCACTACCGAGAAGGCCCTCTTCCTGGTTCCCTATAACCTCATTTCTCGTAGTGAGGGAACCGCCAGAAGGCCCTCGGAGCTGGACCTCAGTGAATGATTGGGGTGGAGACGCTCCTTCAGGTCTACTGGGCCGCGGCCGTTTAGGGCTTTCAAGGTCAGCACCAACGCTTTGAATTGTGCTCGGAAACGTACTGGGAGCCAATGTACGGTAGGTCTCTCAGGACCAGTGTTCTATGGTCTTGGCGGTTACCAATCTAACTGCCGCATTCTGGATTAATTGCAGTTTCTGAGTCAACTTCAAAGATAGCCCCACGTAGAGTGCATTGCAGCAGTCCAAGTGGGAGATAATCAGAGCAGGCACCACTCTGGCAAAATGGTCCACAGGCAGGGAGGGTCTCAGCCTACGTAGCAGATGGAGCTAGTAGACAGCTGCCCTGGTCACAGAATTGACCTCCATCTCCATCGATAGCTGTGAGTCCAAAATGACTTCCAGGCTGCACACCTGGTCCCTCAGGGGCACAGTTACCCCATTCAGGACCAGGGAGTCCCACATACCCGCCCACCCCCGTCCTCCAAAAACAGTACTTTTTTCTTGTCAGGATTAACGACACATGGCAATCCCATGCTGAATGCCTAGTTTTTTTAATTAACTTATGAATTGATTCTTATTCATATATACAAAAATACATAGCCATTACAAAGTACCGTATCTTTTTGTAATATACTAAGATAAGACAGCTACTGTGTCTGAAAAAGAACAAGGTCAGAAAGAGGAAAAGGAGAGACCTAAAAAGAAAAGAGAAAGGGAGAGGAAAGTGAAAGAAAGTAAAAACTACAGAAAGAAAAGAGTGTAAAAGGACTTCCAGGTCTCGGTTCTGCATTCTATCTTCTATAAACCGATATTTTTTCAGTATTCAAATCCTGATACTATAAGCTCATTTTCTCTTTCAAACAAAAAATCCACAAGAAATTTCCAATCCTTAACAAATGTCAGTTACGATTTTTCTCAAATTAAACATCTTAACTTTGCCATCTCAGCCAGATCTTTGTGCATATAGCAGTCTCACAAATGTAGTCATATATTGGAATAATCTTCCATAGCCCTTTTCTAATTATGTGTCCATTAGCCCCAAGAGAAAAAGTTCTGGCTTCAGTTGAATATTAACCTTTAAAATCTGCTGAATCAATGTATGTAATTGTATCCAATTTTTTAAAGCCTTTTTACATGATAAAAAGTCCCTTCATGTTCTTGGGATTTCCAGTAAACATTTGAAACATCTTTACACATTTGGAATAGCTTCTGTATAACTACACTGAATGCCTGGTGTGGAAGGACCCTGAACCTTTTCCTTCCATGAGGTTTGACTCACACAAAATATTATGGCTGGAATCCTGTCTTCACGCACCCCGTGGGTGTAAGCATAAAGGTAAAGGGACCCCTGGCCATTAGGTCCAGTTGTGACCAACTCTGGGGTTGCGGCGCTCATCTTGCTTTATTGGCCGAGGGAGCCGGCGTACAGCTTCCGGGTCATGTGGCCAGCAGGACTAAGCCGCTTCTGATGAACCAGAGCAGCGCACCAAAACGCCGTTTACCTTCCCACCAGAGCAGTACCTATTTATCTACTTGCACTTTGACGTGCTTTCGAACTGGTAGGTGGGCAGGAGCTGGGACTGAGCAACGGGAGCTTGCCCCGTCGCGGGGATTCGAACCGCCGACCTTCTGATTGGAAAGTCCTAGGCTCTGTGGTTTAACCCACAGCGCCACCCGCATCCCTCGGGTGTAAGCATAATGGAACTTAATAGGACTAACTTCTGAGTAAACATGCATAGGATTGTTCTGTGCAAAAGAATAAAAACATTCTGAAGAAAAAGGTTGTATGTTTTAATGTTGGGCCAGGAGTCAGCATTGCCAGGCACCTGAGGAGGTTCACTGCCATCTACACTGTCTGACTGGATGCCACCATTTTGTTTAGCCTTGTGCGTGTATGCTCCGCCATGTGTAGAAGGCCACCTAGGTTCCTCCTTTGGCAGAGGAGGAGGAGGAACCCATCAGAACCCCTACCCCCCAGACAACAAAGAGGAGCAAGAATAGCATCCACCGGAGGCAGAGAGCTTTGGCAGCTTCTCACCAGTGATGGCAATGAAGAGAACAGGGACTTCTATGGTAGTGACAGGGGAGGAACAGCAACCAGGTAGCTGCAGAGCCCTCTCTGTCTGGACTCACTGCTGCACTGGCAGTGGTGAGGAGGGAGCTGCTCTCTGGTGGCCCAGAGCAAGGGAGCTACAGCACTGACTTCTGGTGTTCTCCCCTTCGCTGCCCCACAACAAGTGTCTATATGCATGGGTGAGTGCACAAGGTCTCTTGCCCACAGCCCCCAAACCTGGAGCCAGCCCTGAAATGATGCCCATATGTGGTGCAGTTGTGTGTCTTAGCATTCCTTCCATGGGGGGCGGGGGGTAGAGGAAGGGAAGTGCCACTTTGAAGCACCTTCTATCAGTGCTTTGAAAACATATATTTAAAATAACACACTAAAGAAAATATGGTGCCCAGTTACTTGAAGGTGCCCTTTTAATTGACCAATTTTTTTATGTAAACTAGTTAATCAAAGTGATTGATCAAATGTGCAATCTTACTCTAAGTAACTATTCTGCATGGGTATAAGTGTCTATGCTACTGAAATATCTCTCCTGCACATTGTCTATACAAAAGCTTGGAATGGCGAACTGCCCATGTGGCCTTAACGGGCAGTGTCACCAGTTGCATGGCACATGCACTGCTCATTGTATCCTCCTTGACAAACCATTCATCTCCAGGAAAACAGTCTCATTCACAGGCTGACTTTCCCAGGCCCATCTCCAGAACACCATTCATGATTTTCCTTTTGGCATAATAATGATTTTCCTTATAGGTCACATGGCAAGCTTCTACCCTGCTTGGTGAGGATGAAGTTCACCAACCACTACTCAGCACTGGCACTCATTTTGGGAGATTAGAATTGGCAAACAATTATCTGTGGATACAAATGCCATATAAATTCTTACTGATGATCATATTAACTGGCTAAGGAGGGCGGTAGGGTGGGGCAGGTGGCCAGGCTTGTGGAACATAATGAAAGAGCCCTGCTGGATCAGGTGCATCTAGTTCAGCTCCTGGTTCTCAAATTGGCCAAGCAGATGCCTAGGAAAAACCCACAAGCTGGACTTGAGGGCAACAGCATCTTCTCTCCACTGATGCTCCCCAGCAGCTGGTATCAGCTTCTCACTCAGGTGGTAGTGCCATCATGGCTGAGAGCCACTGGTAGCCTTACCCTCCTTGAATTTGTTTAAGCCCTCTTTGAAAGCTATCTAAGCTGGTAGCCATCATTACATCTTCTGGCAGCAAATCCCATAGCTATAAATATGTACTGTGTGAAGAAGTGCTTCTTTTGGTCTGTCCTGAATGCTCCACTATTCAGCTTTATGGGAACAAGAACCCTGTATGAGGAGGGCCTTAAGACTTTATATGAGTTTTTTGCCAGGTCCCAAGGGGCTGCTTCCCCCCACCAGACTTGCACAGTTCTGTCAAGGTTATTTAGAGTCTGAGAAAGTTCACTGAAATATACCAATATCCTTTCAATTTCCCCTCACACTTCTGCCTCGTTTTTGTCCTGGATTTATTTCAAACTTCACTGGAGGCAACATTCCACCCTGTGTTTGTCGCATGCAGCACGGCTGCATTCTGCTGCAGTTTACCTTCTGCCGCAAACTGTGCTATTGGTCTTGCTGTCTGCTGTGGTGAAATTATGCGACTCACATAATTTATGCACTTAATTACATAAAGTATGTTGCTGTTACATTATTCTACCCTGTTCATTTCAATGCAAATAGAGGGAAATGTAATCAATTATGTATCATTTGAGGACTGAAAGCAATAACAACAGCAAATCCCAATGGCATTCGCTGGGTTGATTTCTGTTCAAACATGGGACAAGTAAACAAACATTGGCAAGTCCTGCTCCTTTTTCTGTTGGAAAGCTCTGACATCCCTACTCACACCCCAAAGGACCTGTTGTCTTTAATTCCTTCCCAGCACACATTCCTTATCTGTAAATTCACCAGAACCTGGTAGCTTTAAAACATGGGAGTGGACTGATTTGTTGCAGAATGTCTCTGGTCATCCGACATAGCCTTAGCAGGGCAGTGGGAAGAAGTGAGGCTCTGCTGCCATCAGGGCCTCACCCACCCTGACCTCAAGCAGGTGTGACCCGGCGCCGGAAACAGCTGCATGTGATGCATTTGAGGAAGCTCATGCTGAGGTGGAAGAGGCCTGTGAAGCGAAAAAGCAGGTTGTAGTAGGTGCCAACGGACAGATCCCCTGAGGTGTCTGCATACTTCAGGGCCACCAGTGGCGTGTATAGGGTGTTCGTCTGTGTTCGGAAAGGAGGGCGCTCCTTGGCGATGACGTTCACAACAGCCTGAAGGAAGGCAAGGTGGAAAGAGGTTGGTATTTTGATACAGCTCCTTCACATCCCCATCCTAACAACTGCTGCTTTCACGTGTTTGGTCTTCCTTGATTTTGAAGCAGTGATTCTCACATTGTGTGCAGGAGAGGCCGGTGCTAGACAGCAATAGGCAACTGTTGTTATTTTTTCATGGACTTTTGGGGAGGTGCCTTTCCATTACATAAAAGGAAGAGGAATCCTGGCATATTGAGTCCAGCATTTTGCTCTCGTGGTGGCTAGCTCACAAGCAGTGCATGAGCACAATAACCCCCCCTCCCCATGATCCCTAGCAGTTGGTAGTCAGAAGGACACTGCCTTTGACACCTCACTGTTCCACAGTGAGTCAAGAGCATCAACAGGAGCACTGTCCATGTCAGCCAGAAAATCCCCCAGGCCATGCAAGAATCCAGCACGTTCCATCAGTCTCAGGGTGGACCATCTTAGTAGTTCCATCATCCTTGCACAGATGAGCATACAGCCCAAACCTTACCAGGAATTGTGTGGCCATGGCAACTGATTCAAAGCAAGCAGGTGCAGGACTGGTTACATTACTTTCAGGTAAGAGAGGCCTATAATTTGGACAGAAAAAACGGCTTCCAGGTGGAAAAATCAAAGCTGGAAACAGAACTGTTAGAACCCAATGCTAAGATACTGTCGAGAATGTATGATTTGCTGTTGAAATGGAATACACAGGATGAAACGGTTAAATCGGCTATGATAAAATGGGCACAAGACATTGGTCATAATATTATGTTTGCTGACTGGGAACGGTTGTGGACCACCGGTATGAAATTTACAGCATGTAATGCCTTAAGAGAAAATATTATGAAAATGATCTATAGGTGGTACATGACACCAGTCAAGCTTGCAAAGATTTATCATTTGCCTGATAATAAGTGTTGGAAATGTAAAGAGACTGAAGGTACATTCTTTCACCTTTGGTGGACGTGCCAAAGGATTAAGGCGTTCTGGGAAATGATCTATAACGAACTGAAAAAAGTATTTAGGTACACTTTTTTGAAGAAACCAGAGGCCTTTCTCCTGGGCATAGTCGGCCAATTGGTGCCAAGGAAGGATAGAACTTTTTTTATGTACGCTACAGCAGCAGCAAGAATACTTATTGCAAAGCATTGGAAGACGCAAGACCTACCCACCTTGGAAGAATGGCAGATGCAAGTAATAGACTATATGGAACTGGCAGAGATGACCGGCAGAATCCGAGATCAAGGAGAGGAGCAGGTGGAAGAGGATTGGAAGAAGTTTAAAGCCTATCTACAAAAACACTGTAAAATTTATGAATGCTAAGGGCTCTGAAAATGAAATGAAGGGGTTTCTAGCGATTAAGATAAATAGACTATAAAGGGAAGGATAAAGGTTTAAAATGAATTATCAATGATCTTGCTGAACTAATTTTTAAAATAGAATACAAGAAGGGAAGGCGGGTGGAAGTAAAGAGAATAAGGTGTTGAAAGTTACCAATATGAAAGAGTGCTCTTTTTAACATTAACTTTGTATTCTTCTTTTTTCTGTTTGGATTTTTGATGTTTGTTGTATGAATTTTTCTTTTTCCTGTTTTCTGTTTGGATTTTTGATGTTTGTTATTTGTTTTTTGTGTTTTTTGTTGATTTTTGTTGGTTGTTAATTTCTGGAAAATCTTAATAAAATCTTATTATAAAAAACAAACAAACAAAGCAAGCAGCTCCCCACCCTGCCCCAGCCATCAAGGTCTGCTCTGTGGCAAAGATGAGGTTGAGGGTGTGGCTGATATACTGACGCAGCCTCAGGGTTGTCATGGAGGCCATGACGGCCCAAGCTGACCTGTTTGATTGCAACTCTCTCCCACAAGAAGTTAAACAGGCACCGTCCCTACTTACTGAGTTTCAGATGCTTGGTCAAAACCAGTTTATTTCTGGATGCCTTTGCACCTTGAATGCTTCTTGGATGATTTAAAAAACAAAACTTATTAAAAATATATTTTAAATTATGAGGTTTAAATTTCTGGAAGCTTAATTCATGTTTTAAATCCTGTATGTTGTGTATTTTCTCATAGTATGTCACTTTGAGACTTACATGGTGAAAAGTGAGAAATAAAGTTTAAAAGAAGCAAATAGTAGCCTGAGCTGGATCAAGGCATTTTGCTGTCTGAGGTGAAGAAGAAGATGATGCTCCTCCCAATTCCATGTACAGAAGTCAGGTGGACTGGTGGTTGAATCTTAACTTCAACACTATAGGGGCAGGACAACATCCTCCACTGCATCTGACGGGAACAGGGGAACTGAGTGGGACAGGGAAGGCCATGTGTGGCCTGCACAGCTCTGTCCTCCCAACACCTTGCCATCACTCCCCACCATTCAGCATTTGCCACCTGAGGCAGCTGCCTCACTCTGTCAAATGGGTCTGAGTATGCATTACAGGACAGAGCAGGTATCACGACTGAGCCAGCCCAGCCAGCTTTCAGTGGAGGAAGTAGGAAGGAAGAGAGAGGGTTAACTATCAGAAGAGAGGAGCCTAGCTGAGCACCAACTTCCCCACCCTCAGGAATGCAGATCCACCTAGGATCTGCCCAGGTCTCTCAAGGGGAGGGAAAAGGAGAGGAAGAGAAGATTGACAGGCTGTCTTTTCAGGAAGAAGTTGGAGGGGATCCAATGAGCCCACGGAGGGAGTCCCACTGGGGGAGGGTGTGTGATAGGAGGCAGAAGCAGAAACTTCAGGGTCCAATTTAAGTTGGAGGAAGGAGAGGGACTCAGCACGAGTCATCGCAATTCATGATGGCGGCAGCTGGGTTAATGCCGTCTGGCGTTATCTGTGTACTTGGTCAATAAATCACCATTTCTACTTAACTACGCTCCCTGTGCTGGATTCCTGACAGCAGGCTAGAGAAGGAGGGAGCAATGGATGCCAGTGTGGAACACTGGAAGTGGCCAGTTCCTGCTTTGTCTTATGCAAACAACTCAGTCCGGTGAGGTGAAATCTGTCAGGGAGGCTGTAGAAGAACTACTGGCTTTAAAGCTTTCCTACGTCACTCATGAGGGTGACCCCTACCTTAGCCACATACTCAGGGGTCTGGCCCATGGTGGTGAATATCTCATGGGAGGCCGGAAGATAGACCTCCTTGAAGTACCGCACGGTGGCAGCATCGGCTCCCGGGAACTCAGAGCGGGCCACTTCCTCCATCAGTTTCATCTCAAATTCTGTGTTGACTGGACCAGGCTCTACCATGGAGATGCTGTGTAGAAGAGGGATTGAAAGAGAGCAAGAGAGAGAAAATGAGGCAGCATTTGGGCCTGGGATCTTCACATCAGATGCCTAAAGTTGGAAGGAAATGGCCAGGGCCCCTGTGCCCTTCCCTGCTTAATTGCCCCAGGGAAATTTCCTTGAATTAATGTTCATTTTAGATATACAGTATAAAGGCCTCCATGAATGGGACTTAGCTCTGCCATTGAGATCAACATGAGATCTATTATTTATATATACAGTGGTACCTTGGTTTTCAAACATAATCCGTTCCGGAAGTCCGTTCCAAAACCAAAGTGTTCCAAAACCAAGGTGCACTTTCCCATAGAAAGTAATGCAAAATGGACGAATCCATTCCAGACTTTTAAAAACAACCCCTAAAACAGCAATTTAACATGAATTTTACTATCTATGTAAGGACTCTATATGGGCTCTTGGATACCCCATAAGGGAAAAGGACAATTTTTGTTTACAGCATAACGAGACCATTGATCCATAAAATGAAAGCAATAAACAATGTACTGCAGTCACACAATCAATCAGTAGCTGAACTGGGTTCCACACAGTCACACACAAAAAGAGCCACAAAAACAAAAGTGCAAAATAGCAAAAAACAGACAGACCTCAGCATAAGACTCAACAGGATGCTGGACAAGATGGGCCATTGGCCTGATCCAGGAGGTGTCATCTTTGTTTTAAACTGTGATTTAATATGGTGTGTGAACTGGGCCCATCTCTGTTTCTATCTGAGTGTACCTTTCCCTAATGTTTCGGGGAAGGACGTTGCTTGTGCAAATCCCTTCCAGTTTCACTAAACTGGGTAGAAGAATTTAAGCTCTTTGAGATCTGCCTTCATGTCGCTCACTCAACTCACAAAATGTTGAATTTGAGGAGTTGCACAGCTAGGCTTTCACAGAAACCTTCCATGGCAAACTTGGAGGCAGCATACACATCATTGAAGGGGACACCTGGTTGGAAAGCAGAAGGGATTTGAGGTGAGCATACCATCATAGCACACTGCTCCACAGGTTGCTACATTCTTGATAAAACAGAAATGGTAAGGCCAGAGCCAGCTATACAAATTTTGCCCTAGCCTTCAACTTGACCAGCCCACCTCCTTGCTCGCCCCAGGAAGAGGAAGATGAGCAGCTGTGGTGGAGATGGCTGGCAGTGGTGGTGGAGGGACTGGGGACTATGGGGAGAAACTCTTTCTCACTGTTATGGTTGTCATCCTCTTGCAGCCACTGCAGCTTCTTGCCTTCCTCTTCCTGGGGATTGCAAGGAGGAAGACTTTTCTCTTCCAATAAGTGGACCCTGGCTGGAATGTATGGATTCACTAAGTGTGTGCACAGCCATGACACACCTCTCTCCTTGCCGTTTGGCACCCCTTCCACCTGTCACCTGAGGCATGTGCTCCTCCTGTCCCCCACCTCCTCCTGCATTCAATCCAGGCCTAAGTAACACAGAGGAACAGCTTAACTGGGACAGTACTTAGGGGCTTGAGGAATATTAATGGTTGTGACACTTGGATGTGTTGCACCAAGGAATAAATACAAACTAACAATCAAAGCAGGATTGCATATTATATTGGAAAATGTGTGTATGTACCCTAGAATCCACATCTGCCAGAACAAAGCAATTTCCAGAACTGAAGATTAGAGCTTCGTGACATGCTTAAAAAAAACAAAAAAGTCAGATCCTTAATGCTGAAAGTTTGTCACAGATAGGCATAGATCCAGGAAAATGAGACCCAACATTTCATCTGAGAAAAAGTTCAGATTTCTTTTCTAAATTTTTGAGGTAGAACTTGGTGTTCCAAAACTCATTCCAACTCATTCCTATCTCAAATGAAAGATCCTGCATGCTCCCTATCACTTCTGGGAGTTTCACTACTGCTGACAGAGAACTGATCTGTGGGGCCATGAGGTCTCTTTGGCTACAGAGGTACAGAGCTAAGCCAAGGCTTTGAGGTTGTATCAGTTTGGATATCTTTGCTCTGCTTCCTCCTGCCCTCCCTATTCCGTTCATACCTTGCAATCCCATGACGCTGCTGATAACTACAATGTGTCCTCTCCGTCTTTGCTTCATTTCAGGGAGAACAGCTTTGATCATGCGGATGGCACCAAAGAAGTTGGTCTCAAAGATGCGCTTCATGTCATCGATGGAAATGGACTCTACAGGCCCAACGAGCCCCACACCGGCATTGTTCACTGGGGAACATAAATTATGATATTAAGAAATATCTATGTTCCATTAATCTCCTGCCAGCATAGCTTCCCATCCTGCCAGAGCGTTGTCTGGACAGGAATGGAAGTCCCCACTTCATTTCCACCCCTGGTTTCATCATGCCTCTCCATATTCTCCTCCTAAGAGGAGCTCTTCCCCCGCCCCCCGGCAATGCTCAATCAATGGCTGTCATTTCATAGAATCATAGAATCATAGAGTTGGAATAGACCACAAGGGCCATCGAGTCCAACCCCCTGCCAAGCAGGAAACACCATCAGAGCACTCTTGACATATGGTTGTCAAGCCTCTGCTGAAAGACCTCCAAAGAAGGAGACTCCACCACACTCCTTGGCAGCAAATTCCACTGTCGAACAGCTCTTACTGTCAGGAAGTTCTTCCTAATGTTTAGGTGGAATCTTCTTTCTTGTAGTTTGGATCCATTGCTCCGTGTCCGCTTCTCTGGAGCAGCAGAAAACAACCTTTCTCCCTCCTCCATATGACATCCTTTTATATATTTGAACATGGCTATCATATCGCCCCTTAACCTCCTCTTCTCCAGGCTAAACATGCCCAGCTCCCTTAGCCGTTCCTCATAAGGCATCGTTTCCAGGCCTTTGACCATTTTGGTTGCCCTCCTCTGGACACATTCCAGTTTGTCAGTGTCCTTCTTGAACTGTGGTGCCCAGAACTGGACACAGTACTCCAGGTGAGGTCTGACCAGAGCAGAATACAGTGGCACTATTACTTCCCTTGATCTAGATGCTATACTCCTATCGATGCAGCCCAGAATTGCATTTCTTCCTGCGGATTAGCCCAACATTACGTCCTCCAGCTGTTTTGGACTACAACTTCCATGAGTCCCTGCCAGCATGGCCAGCAGTCAGAGATGATGACAAGTGCCATTTAACAATATGTGGGGGGGGGCACCAGGTTGGGGAAGGGATGTTAGAGATAGATGTGTGAATGCTCTAACTCTGTTGTGGACACTTTGTTAGGCCTGAGGACAGGGGATAGAGCCTGGGACAATTAGTATCCCAAGCATGTACTTGGTATATACAAAATGGCCTCTCCCCATGGGAAACATTGTGGTTGCTAGGCAACCACAGCATCTCATCATCACAGCTGTACCTAGCAACTGCAAATACAATGCACCCCACTCTTCTTAGACATGACAAAAGGGACTAGGCCATGACGGATGACAGAGGGCCCATTTTGGACAGAGAGAGAGTGTGTGAATTTGCTGCTGATATATCACAGCCCGGTAGGAACCTCTCAAATTTCCTTTGCAGCTTTCCTACCTGTAGTGTCGTAGAGGGGGATGTCATTGAGGGCAATGACAACACCATTTACCACAGCACCAGGATAATACAGTAGATAGACCCTTCTTATTCTGGCAGTTGAATGCAGTGATAACAGGGCTCTCAGGTTTTACCATTGTTTGTGACAGATTCGCACAGAGGAAGTCCTACACTGCAGCTGTCAGCTTATTTTAGTACATTCTCATAAACTAGGTACCATATTATGCCATGTGCTGTGTGTGTGTGTGTGCGTGCGCGCATGCCTGCCTGTTTATCTAATAAATAACAGAGCTCCCTGGATTTTGACTCTCCTTGGAAGCAAGGCTATGGGCACCATTATCTACTCATTGTTTTACCTCACTTGAAAGTAGTTTCTGTGCTTGTGAAACATACACATTTAAGGATCTGAGAAAGGTCCTGAGCACATTGAACTGAAAACACAAACCAACATGTAAAAATGGGAAACAGAAACAAAAACAATAAGCTATTTTAGTAGGATAGTGGATTGAGCACCCTGATCTACAAACTGGATCAACTGCAGTTAATTTATGCTTTTATTGCTTAGTTGGAATGTGTCCCTGAGCTGTGATAGTACAGTTTGCTCCCTGGGTGAAGGATGGAGCTGTGTGTGCATGTGGCTTTGGTTTCCATGTGTCTTGAATGCAGCCTAAGGTACAATGATAAGGATCATGTTCCTTGCTCTGCCCATTTTTGGCCTCCAGCTCCACTCACCACATTCATACGCCCTTCAGAAGGCTGAAGAAGCTTCCCCAGCCCCTGCTCTAGAGTGACCAAGAGGGAGAACCAATGACGGGGGGGGGCATGCGCAGAAAGGAGCAGGCTGGATTCTCAGTGGTGGGTGGGAGGGGGGCACCAAGGGCAGGGATCATATTTAGCCTCCTCCCCGCAGCATGCCCCTTTGCTTTCTTCTTTGTAAGTGTGTGGCAGACAACCACCCCCCATGAGCAGCAGTGAAGTGCTGCGCTTGAGGGTGAAAGCTGCAGAGAAGGCAACTCCTGCCTACCAGAGGGGCTTCTCCCGTCTTTCTCTTGGGCAGAGAAAATGCCTGCCCTTCAAGAGCTGAATAAAACCTGCTTATGAAACCTGCACGAGTAATTAAGCTTCAGGAGAGAAGATGTGGTGGGGCACGCACTTAATAGAGTAGAAAGCACCCTCGGCTGAATTCCCTTTAGCACCTTCCTTTCCTCACCACAGCAGATCGCTGTTGACCGCGTGCTCATTTTCCTTTGCTTTTTGCCTAAGAGCACCCCTGCCTGGATTTCTCCTGAGCTCTGTAACGGAAGACGGAGATTTTGCTGTGAGGCCAAATGCTTCCACAGCGCTGTTTTGGTGAGCGACCAACAATCCCCTTTCCCCTTAAAAGTCTCCCCGCCCCCAAAACGGAACCCCAACAGAATGGGCATAAAACGGGGTAGATCACTGCCAGATTTTAATTCTGAAAGTCCCTCAGGAGTTGGCCACCCCTGCCATAGGATAAAGGAGTTCCCCCTGGCTGCACCTTACCCAGAACATCCAGTCGTTTCTCAGGAAGGCTGTTGATGCACTCAGCCACAGACTCATCATTGCAGACATCAAGGCGCTGGATGCTGAGGGTCTTGTTGAGTGTGTCCCCAGCAGCTGCCTCCAGCTTGTCCTTCTTGCGCAGGTCGCGCATGGTGGCAATGACTGGAAGGGAGACAGTGCACAGGAGCATAGCCAAATGTTCTGTGGTGCTGAGATGCGTTCAGAGTAGATTGGAGGAACATCATGTCCACGAAAAACTGCCAAAGTGTGCATAGTAATATACATCTAACCCCACAGGTTTAAATTAGTATTCTCAAGTGTGTGTGTGTGTGTGTGTGTGTGTGTGTGTATCCAAGAGCTTTGCACTCATTGGACAGAGCACTGAAAACCAGCAGCAGCTTTGCTTTTAACTGAGCAATCATGTGGAAAAAAGCCTGTATGCATTTAATCAGATCCCTACAAGGACTAGAGACTTGAATGCATTTTAATGAAAACTGAACATCTTGAGAAGAGTGGGTCAGGAACCCTGAAGCTTCTCCAGTTCAGAAAGAACTCACAGGGGGGAGGGGCGGTCCAGCAGCTCATAGACATGCTCCCCCACCTCCTCAAAGTCAGTTTGCTGTTACATAGCCTGACACCTGTGTGGCCCAAGGAGCCAATTGGCTAGCTCAGAGGTAGGGAATGTGAGCTTTTTTGCTAGGGGTCAAGAGGGCAATTGAGGATTCATGCATTGTAAGCCGCTTTGGGGTCATGATGCTAAATCCCTCTGTCGTTAATCCCCTCTGTGGAGGGAAGGTGGGGGGAGAGGAATACTTTGTTGCCAAGACTACTAGCAACATGTGTGTGCACTTATGTTTTTCTATGCTTATGCTTGGATTTTATACATGTGGTTTTGTGTGTGCCTCTCTTTGAGAAATAATGATGAGGATAATGAATATCAACCACAAAACACACAGACACACCATGGGTGGGGAGTTATGTAACAAGAGCACTTAGCATATATAAAGGGCAGAGAACCCTCCAGAACCATCCAATGCTCTTGGGTGTCGAATAGCTCCTGGAGAGCCCACAGCCCCCCAAACCCGGGTCTAAATATGCTGCAGCACACAACTGTATACTACGCAGCATTTAGATAACACATCCAGGGGGTTCAAAATGCATGCATCAACCCAGCTACAGTAATCCTTACATCAAACTTGCAAGGTAGGTTAGTGTTATTACCCACCACCCAAAGTCTGGCAGTTTGGTGGTCAAGGACATACTGGGCATTGCCCTCGGCTAATACCCTTTGGGGAGGGGATATAGCCCAGGGACAGAGCAATGCTTTGGACTCAGAAGTTCTCCATTTCAGTCCCTGGCATCTCTAGTTTTTGTTTTGTTTTTAAAGGACCAGGTAAACAGGTGTGAAGGATGCAAAATGTCTCCCTGTGACTCTGGAATCTGCTGCCAGTAAGAGCAGAGAGAATACTGTGTTAGATGAACAAATAGCCTGACCTGGTGTGAGGCCTGATCCTGTTCCACATTGCAGATGAAGTAAGGAAGGTCAAGGGAGGGTTGTTTGCTTAAGTTCATGTGGAAGGAAGCTGCAAGGCTGACACCCTGATTCATAGCTTTGCTTTATGCTGGCAGGTGAGGATTCTTTGTGCTTTCTCTCATTCTGGCCTCAAATTGCAAAGGGCTAAAGCTTCTTGTTTGGTTTCAAGCAGCATCCTGCATAGCAGAGGCCTACGGTGCTCAATTCAGGTGGATTGGTTTTATTTTATTTTTTTAAAATCAAGTTTCTAGACCCCACAATTGTAGACAAACAGCTTTAAATGCTGTAATCAGGCTACCCAGATGAAGCTTTCTTAATCTACCTTGCCCACCTTCCTCTTTGCTTTTCAAAGACTCCAATCACCTGCCCCAACAATCTGTCTCCTACTAATATCCTTTAAAATCCTACTCTTCTCCCTCCTGTATTCCAATAGCTAAGAGAGACTGGGGTGAGGGGAGCTAATATCCTCCACACATGTAATTTAATCCAATAGAGCATTTCTCTGTTGTCACAGAATGTAAGGGGGGAAAGGGAATTAGCAAAGAACTCTAGACTCTTTTGGTAATGGTATTTGTGATTGTATTTGCAATCGGAAGTGTGAGCGTTTCATAAGGTTTTTCAGTCTGGGGAGCAAGCGCCACAGTGTGTTTATGTACGTGCAATGCGATTGCAGGCTGTGTTGACTCACTGCCACCACATGTGATACTTTTCTTGTTGTGTATGATGTATGAGGTGACTGTCACCAGTTTAGATGGCCTTAATAAAGGCTTGTTCAAACTCACGGGGAGGCGGGAATAGGTCTGTTAATGTCTATTGCCCATGATATCAAAATGGAGCCTACATGTATAGGGGCAGTGGACTTTAGAATATAGATTTGGGGGGATGGACAAGAAGAGGATGATCACTCCTGCCCTGCCCCTTTTATTGAGCTTCCAGAAACACCAGATTGGCTGCTTCTATAAACAGTATGCTGGACTAGATGAATGTTTTAGCCTTATCTAGCAAGTCTGTCCTTGTGACATTTCTGCCAGTGGGACATGTTGTAGATGCATGCAGTGTGTGTGTGTGTGTGTGAGAGAGAGAGAGAGAGAGAGAGAGAGAGAGAGAGAGAGAGAGGGAGGGAGGGAGAGAAGCCGTGTGGTTTTGGAAAGCTGTGCATACTGGGCAAACAATGTTTGTGTCTGCTGTTGAACACACAAGTGTTTGCGTTGCTGCACATATCTGGTGTTTGTGCACATACAAATGTATGTCAGTCCATCGTGCCTTACCTAACAGAACACTCTCTACCTAATGCCCTTTGGACTCGGCACCTTCCTGATCTAGTTACTTAACTCTGGACTGTGTGAGCAGCACGAGGCTTCTCATTAGGATTCTGCCTCCCATGGCAAGCAAAGAGCAAAGTAGGTGGGACTGGAATGGAGAGGGGTGGGGGTGGTGGGGCAGAGAAGAGCTGGGCTTTGGTAACATTCTTACCCCCATGTCATGTGTAGTTTGTTATGCAAGTGGCCTTTGGACAGTGTCTGGGTCCAGCCAAACTGTTGGGCAAAGAGGAATGGCTTGTTTCTGCTTAGCCTGTGGAAAATAGGGCAGCAGTGGGTTGGGGGAGATTTGGAGGTGGAGGTGGGAAGTGGGCAAAGGAGTTGGTGGCTGGAAGTGTAGCTGCTGGGGGGAAAATCCTGGGAAACAGGCAGAGAATATAGCAAAGTTCCTGCAATACCAAAGGGACGTCCGATTGGGTGGGCAGCACAGGCAGGCACATTTCCTGGGCGTGAAGATGCCAGGGTGGGTGTGACGGCATGCTCTAGCTGCCAGACCATAACAGAGCCCTGAGAATAATAGCTGGCTCAAGGGAGAAAAGCAGAGCATGCTGCATTCTTTTAACTCTCTGATTATCACCCTCCCTGGTTCCACAGTCCCTTCCTGCAAGTTGCAGGGCTGAACAGTGCAGCAGAGCTTTGTGGGTACCCCGTTTCCTCCATGTGGGTTTGCTCCTCTGCAAGAGGTCCCACACCAGAGTTTCAGAATTCCAAAAAGAGCACACAATCCTCCCCCGAGCAAGTTCCACGCCAACCCCCTTAGCGGATGCCCCAGTCTCACCGTGAAATCGCTTGCTTGGGTCCTGCGCCAGTTGCACAGCCATGCGCAGCCCGATGCCCGAGGAGCAGCCGGTGATAAGCACAGTGCGTGGAGCCGCCTTGGCCATGGCTGAGCTGCAGTGAGTGGTGCCCGAAGGGATCAGGGTTGAGAGAATGACAGAGCTCCTCCAGCATGTGACCCAGGGATCAGCTGGAGGCTTGAGCTGGTGACAGGGCTGGGCTGGGCGGGGGAAGCTCTGAGCTCCTTCAGGGCAGATGGCCACCCCTCAAAAACCTGTGACTGCATTTCCCAGGGCTGCATCAGCTGCGCCTATGGAGTTTTCACAGACAAGCCCAGCATTTTGCCCTGTTATGTACTCTGGTGGGTCATGACAAACACAGCCAGGCCTGGTGGATGAATAGCTGTCAGATCTTAGGCACCTTAGGAAAACATAAAAACTAGAAACCCTATATGTGCAGGCAGGCATGTCAGTGCACACCCAACATGAATGTGTCTTTATAATTGGGTAGTTAAACAATAATCAGAATGAAGACTGATACGGTTAACGTGCGGCTAAAAGAGTGCTCTGTTAGCCAGGAAGTACCGAGTTTAGTTGGGCAAGCAATGATCTCTCAGTCTTTTGCCTCCAACTGAAATATGGAGAGTAGTAATTCAGATTTGCCTTACGGAGTCATTGATGAGATAATATGTGTAAAGCCTTTAGAACACTCAGAAGACAACAGTTATGATTTACATCTATACAGTTGTTTTTAAAGAGATGCCTTTCTTCAGTTTCCTTCAGTTTTCCAGTCCATGCTACAAATGACATGGGGGAATTCAGTAACATGTTACCAATTTTAAAGCAAAACCAGGGGAATGGTACTAATTACACCAGGTGAATTAATGCAGAAAACAAGGGTGTGACAATAGGTAATGCAAGTCTGGGAGAATCGGGATCCAAGTGAGGGACAGGAATGTGAAGCGATGCTTTATGTCACATGCTTGTATAATATAGGGGTCTAGATCCATTTCTTCCCCTTCTATTTGCCAGGAGGTCATGGCCATCACCTCCTGGCAAAGAGAAGGGGAAGAAATGGAGGCAGTGAGAGATTTTACTTTCTTGGGCTCCATGATCACTGCAGATGGTGACAGCAGCCACGAAATTAAAAGACGCCTCCTTCTTGGGAGAAGGGCAATGACAGGCCTAGACAGCATCTTAAAAAGCAGAGATATCACTTTGCTGACAAAGGTCCGTATACTTAAAGCTATGGTTTTCCCAGTAGTGATGTATGGAACTGAGAGCTGGACCATAAAGAAGGCTGATTGCTAACAAATTGATACTTTTGAATTCTGGTGCTGGAGGAGACTCTTGAGAGTCCAATGGACTGCAAGAAGATCAAACCTATCCATTCTTAAGGAAATCAGCCCTGAGTGCTCACTGGAAGGACAGATCATGAAACTAAGGCTCCAATCCTTTGGCCACCTCATGAGAAGCGAAGACTCCCTGGGAAAGACCCTGATGCTGGGAAAGATGGAGGGCACAAGGAGAAGGGGACAACAGAGGACAAGATGGTTGGACAGTGTTCTCGAAACTACGAACATGAGTTTGACCAAACTGCAGGAGGCAGTGGAAGACAGGAGTGCCTGCCATGCTCTGGTCCATGGGGTCACGAAGAGTCTAAACAACAAGATCCTTTGGGCCTGACGTTTGCAGTTTTGTGTTTCTGCAGTTCTGTGTTTCTGATCTCTGTCACTAGATGGCAATATACCCCAATAATGGCTCAGGCCTTGGCAGATGATCACGATGTTGCTTCACCCCTCTAGGCTGTGCTGGGACCAAACAGGCCCCGCTGAATCAATTAGGGAATTGAAAGGATGTGGTTTTAAAAAATAAAATAGAAATTTCCCTAACAGTTTAAATCTGCCCTTTATTTCAAAATGCTGAATTATTGTGAATTATAACTGCATAGCTTCTGTACACCACTGAATCTGGTCCATGGGGTCACGAAGAGTCGGACACGACTAAACAACTAAACAACTAACTAACTAACTAACTATATATTGATATATTTGATTAACAATACAAATACTGGGTTTTTTAAAGGGGGGAACTTTCTGATTACTTTTACTGCATCTGCAGTATTTGATATGTCTGACCTACGGTAATTAGATTTACCTTACTGTGCAATCTTGCATATATACTCAGAAGCCATTCCCATGGAGTTCAGTGAGATTTGCTTCTGTGTGAATGAGTACAGGATTGCTGCAGTCCCCATGTGCCATTGCAGTTTGTTCCATGCACTCCAGGCTGACAAAGAAAGCCCGAAAGAAATAATGAGAACCCGGACTCTGCTGCTTCATAGGAAGGATTACCTACCTGACAGAAAACAACAGTGACTCTTGTGGCATCTTAAAAGATGAATAAATTAATTAATTATGACACAAGCTGTTTGAAAAACCAGTCTAGTTTACCAGGGCACGATTTAAAATACAACATGAAAAACTGTTTACAACAAATTACAATCACAAAAATAGGATGTGCCCTAAAATACATATCTCAGGTACCAAAGACCAGGTTAAAGATATGCTCATGCCATGGTAAATTGGTTAATTTCTAAGGTGTCACAGGACCTTTTGCTGCCACTGCCACCCCTACTTTAACCCACTACCAGCCTGTAGTATGATGCCCACTCCCAGCTCCCCATCACCCCCCCATTTCATTCCTTTCCCCTTTCTTTCTCTTCTTCCTTCTCTTTCTTTAAATGAACTTAAGACTGCTTTAAAGTTAATAACAATCATCAATGTTGGGATATCACTTTACAGATCTCCAAGTGGCTTCTCACATGGTTTGCACTTCAGCTAGTCATGTGGGATGGTGTCCAATCACCAAGGCTGTAAGATCTAATTGCCAGTCTGGCTGGCATTTGTATGCAGCAGGGCTAGTGAGTTTGGTTTATTGAATTTACGGTATGTGTTGCTTCCCAAAACAGACACCCCAGAGCAATTTACAAGAAAAAAAACACAGTGGTACAATAGAAGATTCATAAACATAATAAAAACATAATCAGTGTGAAAGCATCTAGCATTGGTGCTGCTCAGACTCCCAGGAATTCAGAAATGTCTTTGCCTGGTGCCAAAAGGATGACAAAGTCCCTGGGAGTGTGTTCTGTAGGTGGGTGGTGCTATCTTCCTTTGGCCTTGGCCAACCAAATGAAGGGAAGTGACAGCGGCCCAGGCACAATTTGACTGTATCTCATTAAAGAAGTACGGTAGGTCCTAGCTGTGTGCCGAGGGCTGATGTTTTCAGGGCCATTATTTACCTTCTGTTGGTTGCACAATGAAGGTGTGCTCATTTCTCATGCAAAATCCACTTGTAAGATTTGTTCTGTTGAGAAAACACCACATCTTACTAATCAGACTGCCAACTTTCATTATCATGGGTGGTGTAGTCTTCCACTATGTAAAATGGGATTCCAAATGAAGATATTTTGGGGTTTTGGGCAGAAAATTCATATGGCATCAATCTCCCACTAGTCAGCATAGTATACAATCCCATGGGAAATTCTTCCCATTGCCTTTGCATCCCTTCCACTCATTTTTGCAGGGAAACATCATCATCATCATCATCATCATCATCATCATCATCATCATCATTAGAATTTATATACTGCCCTCCCCAGGAGGTCTCATCCTACCCCAGACGGTGTCCAGTCTGCATAGCCTGCTGCACAAAATCCACTGTCTGAGTTGCCCCCTCATCTTTCCACATTAGGATTGCCTCTCCACGTTTCCCCCAACTCTTTCACCAGACAATGGGTGTACCTGTTTTCCATTGATGACCTTCCTCCCATCCTACAGAGATGTAGAGTCCCGCATATTTTTGAGAAGGGACTTGACTATAAGTTTACCATGAGGGGAGAGGATGAGAGGGCAAGTGGATCTGCCCTATCTCTAGGGTTTGTTGTGGCTGTTCCTTTGCACACCCCCTTCCTTCTCACCCCCCCCACAAGTCCTTGGGGGTGGGAGAATGAGACTGAGTCATCCTGTTGCCTCATGGTATGAATCACTGGCTCAGCTCCGAAATTGTTGACCCAGATTGTTAAGTTCCCAGCAAATATTTACAGCTGTATCTGGAGTAACATCCCTCAGCCCCCAGGCTGGAACCAGCCCAGTCTTCCTGCTGGCCCTGCCTTTATGGCTGCCTCTGCATGCAAGAGCTTAGTGGGGCCTCTGTCTGGGAAGGAAAGCAGCTTTGTCAAGCTGGTGTGTCCATGTTTCATCACAGGACTGAAAGCAGCGAATAGTCAGCTGTGATGTATTGATCAGGATAGGCAGCACAAAATAATAAAATAAAGGAGCATGTGCCATTTTTTGCCCAGGCAGAGAAAGGGGAGGGAGCATGTGCCAGCTTACTGCAGGTGCCACCTTACTCCCAGTACGCCTGCTGCTGCTGGGGTGGGAAAACACGACATGTAATGGCAACAGGGCACGGGGTAAACTGGACTAAAGACTAAGAGAGCATGGTGGGGAACTTGACACAGCATTTCTATTTTCCATGGCAGATACCATCTTGGCTGTGAATCCTGGAAGACCCGCCTTGCAGGCCTTTCCCCTCAGCTACAGAAGACCATCTTGGCTGTCTCTTAGTGCAGACCCAGGTAACTGAGCCTCAGCTTCCACAGCTGCTGCCTGACATGAACTACCATTGGCAGGATCGGCAGCAACAGCAGCAGAGACCACCTGGGCTATCTTTGGAGCTGGAGGAGGAGGAAGAGAGGACAGAGGGTGAAGAAAGAGCTGTGAGTGCTTTCCCCATCCTTTGAACCCCCTTGGAAACACCACAAACTGCTGTACCTAGACCTGTGTGTGGATAATGCAGCTGAATGGGGCACAGCAGTGGGCAGCCTGAGGAAGGACCACCCACCTTGGGCCTGCCCATAAAAGTCTAGAGTGGGTGATGTCCACTGTGTCCAGGAACTCTTCTCATTGTGGGCTTTCTGTGGGTGAGCTGAGTTGGTTTGGTCCCTAGGTGAGAACCCAGAGGCTGAGGGAAGGGTGTGTTAGAAGGGAAAAGAATTGTTATTGATTTATATAAATTAGTAACTTTGTATTAATGTAACATTTTTATATGTAACAATGTACTTTTGTAATATTTTGCTTAAGTTGTCTGTTGTTGCTTCTGTTTTCTGTACATTCCTTAGATATATATTTAATATATTACCGTAAGTGGTATAAAAATTAAATAATAAATAAACATTTAGTGACTCCTGCAGGGCTGCTCACATTGCTGGATTCTGAAAATGCAATCAGGAAATCAGAGCAGAAGTAACTGAGATTGGTTGCAACCCTCCATCTAGGACACATGCTCTCCCTCGCTGGTCGGAAGAGAGGTGATTTCTGATTGGGCCTGTT